TGGAGGGCGCTACATAAATCCAAGTTGTTGTTGTTGGTTGGTTGTATTGTACTATACTGCCTTCCAAACAGCTTGTCAACATTTATTGTGGTTCATCATCCACTGGTGGCAAATAGTTATTTTCATCAAATTATCAAAATGATAATGATAAGAAGCCTTGCATTTGACATAGCGCCTTATCGCGTCCTCGAGGCGTCTGAAAGCGCTTCACAGAGTACACTGTATATTTTGTGGGTGAAACGTGGTCAGCCAGGCTTTAAGAAATGGTTTATTTCTAACGACAGCCCTTCTAACATCAGTAAGTGAACATGAACGTTCTGTACGAGCAGTGAAGGTAGCTGGGTAGTGAGCTGGTTAAAAGTTGCTGGTGCTTTTCCAGTCTCTTTACCGAGCGGGCTTGTAAACGTTGGCAGACGACGTTGGGTGGGGTTGACCAGCTCAAACTGGAAAGGCCGTTCGCAGGGTGTAATTAGTGGCAGCGTTAAGCATTGCAGGAATGTTTTTAATATCTTCTTTTTCGCATTGCTCCGAGCAGGTTATTGATATCCCCCCACCCCCCCCACCCCGCACCCGCCCCCGCCCCCGTTTCTGCTTTGTTTAAGATCCCCTTTTCGAGATCACCGGGGCGTGGAGGTTATAGGTCCAGAAGCCCCCTTGCCTTGCGTGCTTCGGCTTGATGGCGCAAGGACGATAAAGCTAGGAGCGTCTCTTGTGTGCAGCCGTTTTCATTCCGTCAAGCTGAAGCTTTATTTTTAACTGATCTCTTTCCCCCTCCCTCCCTCCCTCCCTCCCTCGCCCACCCATCATGTGATTCACTGGGTGTCTGCGTTGCACTGTTTTCGCAGCCTAGCCTGGAAACACAGAAATGATTGAGATTCTCTCCCCCCCCCCCCCCCCCACCTTTCGTTCTTATACTGTTAAGGCAGGTTTGCTGAAATTGCCTATATTGGACGCTGTGTTATTTTACATTTTGGTTTGATTTTCTTTTCCTGTGCGAAATGCTGAGCGAGTTTACCCGAGCCTATTCTCACACAGCCTGAACTTGACTCCGTGCCAGTATTGTGCCATACACGGTGGGCGTGCGTTGTGTGGGTTGGGAGGGAGGGGGGGGGGGGGGGGGGGAGAGGGTGGGGTTGTTTTTCACCTTCCTCTTTGGAAAGTATCAAATTGTAAGCGCAGCGTCAAGATTTTGTGTAAAACTATGTCCAACCAAACTCTTTGCAAACTGAATGTGAATCGGCCGAGAAGCATATCTTTTGGCACTACATTACTTAGTCTCGGAGATATTTGGACCCATGTTCTTTCCCTTCCTCCCACTCCCCCCCCCCCCCCCCCCCACCACCACCAAACCCCCATTTTAATTTCTTTAGTTATCACGTTAGGCTTTTTTTAATCTTAAATGTTCCGAGATAAAAAAATTGGTCATTCACTCTGTGACTTTAGTTTGGTCACTGGATCCACCACACTTTGGGGGAACACTGCTGTGCGCAATTATCTGTGGCATTTCGCCCACAAAATGTACAGTCAATTCACTGTGTGAAGCGCTTAAAGACGTTTTAACGAATTGATAAGCTGCTATGTATCAAATGCAAGGTTTATTATTATGACGAGTTGTGGGGCATCGCTTGCGCAAATTGGCTTTCACCACACTTACAGTAAGTCCTGTGAATCACTTGCAGGGGTGGGGAGGAGGAATGAGGAGGAAAAGATGACCGAGAAATTGAAACAAATGGATTCAAAGAGCACAAGGAAAAAATGGATAGAAAAAGAAACTCCAGATCAGCTGTGAGGCTTTCTTACCTGTGAACAATAACTTGGGTATTTGACAAGATTTAGCGCTACACTCCCGAACAAATGAATTCTGAATGTGCGTCCTTCCACAATCCCCACCTAAACAAACACTAACTCTGTAGCTTCGGTGATTCCCAATTTTTTAATGCCATTTTTTTCCCATCAAACTTTAAGAACTGTTTTTCTGCTCCTCGCTCTTTGTGGTTCTGTCGAACATATGTGCTCAGAGCCATCCATGGGTTAGAGAACGTGTGCTATGCATTAGATCATGCACGTGGAAACATCCCGCACTTGAACACTCAGTGTATTGGGCTGAAAAATGCATAGACAGTTTGATGTGAATTATCATGATAATTATTGTATTGAATATATTATGAAGCATCGCTGTTCTGTGCTGCACTGTGATCCACAGACCTTAACCTGGGTCCTTAATAAAACAAGTCAAGTATGTTAGGTTGATAATGAAACGTTTGAGAAGTAGGTTGTAGAGGTATTGCTAGATGTCTGATTCTGAGAAGTAGACAACGTGTCGTCTATTATTAAGAATATGTGTGGATCTCTGATGGTCCAGCATAGGTTTGTGTTGATCTACGTTGACTATTGCAAGGCCATTGTGCCCCATTTTGGTGAATGACCCATTCCAGTCAATCTCTAGGAGAAGGGAGACTAAGAAAGAAGAAGCCAGGAACTTTCATATCAGTGTCAAAAGAAAGGCAGCAGAGGTAATTGCACGCAAGCAGTATTGCCCAATCTCGCAGCAAGTGGGCGGAGAATTTTGCCGTCTTTTGTTTATTTACTTTAAGCTTTGAAATGCCATGAGCCTCTTAAGAACATAGGACAACGGGAGGAAGCCATTCAGCCCATTTGAGCCTGTTCCACCAGTTTAATGAGATTTTATCAGATCTTTCAAACCCATTGTTTTTTGTCATATCACTTAATACCTAGACTGTCCAAGTGTCTGTTTATCTCTTTTAAACATACCTATTGATTCTGCATCTACTGTCCTTCCCTCTAGGGGCCTTTTGAAGAGATGTTTCCATCCCTGGAACGCTTGCCCAGTCAGGCCCTGTATCACGGTTTTGTATACAGAGCAGTTGCACTATGGACCGACCCACAGTATACTGGGAAGAGCATTCAGGTGCAGAAGCATCTTCTAGCAGTGATTTACTGATGTCATCGACAGTGTTATCAGTGTCCTGCTATCGTGATATCCATTATACAATACAGTACAAAATTACATTTGTATAGAGCTTTTCATGTCTGGAGGACATCCCAAGGTGCTGGGCAGTCAGGGATTTGGACCCGAGCATGGGGTGGGGGGCACGGGCGGGGGGTTTGAGGTAAGGGAGGGTGGAGGGCAAGAAGCATAGGAGGGCGGCTGGAGAGGAGGGTCTCAAGATGTGCACTGAGCGTGCGTTGAGGCAGGCTGGGCAGGGTGGCGTGGAGCAGGCCGCAGTCTGCTGAGCGGAGGGAGCAGACAGGTTGATAACGCAGGATCTGAACTTTATGGAGCCGTGTGACTGGGTCTGACTGTACTTGCGTTTGGAGAATCCCGCGTTTTGGATTTGCCGTGAAATTTCCCAACCGTAGCCTCAAGACCCAAGGCGAAGATTGTGCAGAATTTTTGGAAAATTCTTAATTTGCAAGGCGGTATTCCACACGTCTTTAAAAAAAAGTATAAAACCTGTAATCTTCTGATTAGTATAATCTGCACAGACACAATGGCCCCAGTCTGTGCTGAAATGTTCAATGTTTCTATGTATAGTTCAGGACTGTCTTTATCCAGGAGTCAAGAGGGGAGGGTGTGGGGGTGGTGGTGGGGGGGAGGGGGGGGAATGGCGGGGAGACAGAAAGAGAATCTCCATCCAAATAGGATAATTATTTTGTTTTGTACTGTACAATAGTGAACATTGTGTGCCTGCCTCCGTCGCATATCCAACTTGTTTGTTAATCCTAGGCTTGTGCTTATTCTGTAATTGCTGTGCACAATTAGCTGTGCACATTTCGCCCACGCAAAAAAAATAGTCACTCCACTTTACAGTGTATCCTGTGAAGCGCTTTGAAGCGTCTCATTGACGTGATAAGGCGCTGTATCAAATGCAAGGATTACTGATAATACTCGAGATGTTTGCTGAGCAATTATCTTGTTTTATCTTATAATCCTCTAATAGAAGTTGCTAAAAAAAAACAGCACTTCATAGGAACCTGTTGATAACCTGGTGAGTAATTGCGCTTCAATGAAAATGCAGCCATTTATTACATTCGCCATAAAGTGTCTCAAAATGAGCCCAATCCCACACTTCAGATACATGTTGATGCTATATATACTCCTGTTTCTGGTATCTAGAATATCCCAATACTTCCTGAATCCCTTGGAAGCTATCTTATCCTTTCCCAAGTTGCAGTTTGAAGCTCATTCCTGTGCAAGTAGCTTGATGGGGCGGGTGGGGGTAAAATAAAACTTTGTGTTGCCTCTTTCGTGTCTCACGTTCCCAATGACTTAGCAAGTTTATCCCGTGACCAACTGATCAGGAAGGGTCAAGGTTCAATCCCCAATCGTGCTGACATCGTTCAACTGGCCCTGCAGGATGGGTTTCACAATTAGCCTTGGTGGCTTCAGGGGGAAATTCAGACACAGTTCCTGTTGCTGATTGCTGTCTTGTGACCCGAGAGCGTGCGTTGGGGTAACTACTGGAGTCTAACCAGCTAAAACCACATGGCTTGCCATTGAGAGCACTGTCTGGCAAACTTTCCCTCTGCTTGTCCAGCTAGAACCACCCTTACCCATTACGGCTTTGGCTTGCAGGGTTAACAGGAGCTGAATGGGTTCTATTTGCTTGGAACAAAATAGATTGCAGAAGTTGTGCAGGTGTAAGTAACTAGTAGAGTTTTTTAAGAATGTTTCTGCCTCAGTAATATATAATATATGGAGGAAAGTATTGCAGTATTATAAAATGCAAGGTTGTTATTTATTATTAATATCCCTCTGTGTTATAATCCTCTCCTAAAATCACTCATTTCTGCTGCGGAATCATTTTACTTGAGGCAATCTCCCATAGCTCACCCAAGTGATCATGTATTCCTAATGGGATGATAGATAGTGAATGTAGGCAGCCTATCTGATCATTACAGTTGAGCCCAAAACATAAACCTCACCCAACATCCACACAAACTCCGTCCTGACTGACATCTATTTTCCCCCATCCTAGGGAGCTGAGGACAAGTGGAGCATCTCTGCCCTGTCTGAGACCAACTAATTAAGCACAGACTGGGATCAACTAAACAGGTTAGTTAACACTATCTACAGTAGCGGCCTCACCACCATCAATACTGACCTTTGAATCATAAATAGTGATGCAACTTGCTAGTAATTACTCATGCAACACTTTGTGACGTTTAATGTGATAAGACACTATACAAATTACAGTTCTCAAGTCAGCTGGCTCAGTCAGTAGCTTTGAACCAGGCATTCTGGTTTCATGACTTGAGCTCTTAATCAATTGCTGACATTCCAGTGCAGTGATGGGGCAGTGCTGCATTGTCGGAGATGCCATCCTCCGAATGGTATATTGAGGCCCTTATGTTTTTCTTGTTGATATGCCACGATTGAGAAAGGAAGGGAGTTTGGTGGAAACAAATAGAATGATCTTGCATTAAAGAAAACACATAAATCTTAAAAACAAATGAAATTTAGGGTTAAGGGGACATAGAATCCTAGTTTTTGTTTATTGCTAACATCCTTCTGTTTTACCAGAATATTTTATTAAGAGTGATAAACCAAAACCCTCAAGAGTATAGCCATGTGATGCTAATATCTTTTCCACGTTGAATTCTCCCCTTCCCTCATCCTCCTAAGGGTGTTTTGGACTAACATCTAATGGCATCCTCAGTTTTTCACCTTAATGTTGTTCATGTACCTTGATGGTAGTGTCAATGGGGTATTCACTGCGGGAAGGAGAGGGAGGTTGATCCCATCCAATGCACACGCAAGGAGTCTCTGGACAGTGATCAGCAATAGGAACCCTTTCTGATTGTCCGTTCCCTTAACCAGTGGGCACTGACCTAATTGCCTCAAACCCTGCCCCAGCTGAGTTCAAGTAACTCAGTACAGTTGAGAGGCCTTCTGTATAGATGGCCTGGTGTTGCCAGCGACTTTGTTGTGTGCTTGAATCTGTAATATACAAGGGACAGGCGTCATCACTGTCTGGAAGATTAATTGTCTTCCAGGTGCTGGTTTTGTGGGGAAATATAATCACATTTGTATGATCCGAACTAAACCGCAAACTGTTGTTTGCGGATGCCATGAATATACGTAAACATGGATGAAATTTCAATCCGCTGAGTGTGTAAGAATTATACTGATTTTCTTTGTAATAACCACAAAGTGTTTTACTGTGTCCTCTCCCTGGGTTGCTATTTTGATCAGTGCTGGCTGGACAAACTGTTATAACTAAACTGTTGCTGGGTCTCGCAACAACCAAATAGCTATTGGTGAATGTCTAACATGCCGGATACAGTTGGATCTCCACAAGCCCATGCTGACCTATATAGGTCTGCATCGTGCCTTTGATGATCTGCATATATAATAGGTACTATGAGTCCCTCAACCCATCCACTCCACCATCAACAGCCATGCCACTATTAGTCAATGGGCGGATCACTTTCCAGGGTAATAGTCCCTTTAAAAAAATCTGGTAACTCAATCTATGGCTGTTTGTGGAACACTGCTGTGCGCAATTGGCTGCCGCGTTTCATCCACAAATGATCAATCTATTTCACAATATATCCTGTGAAGCGTCTCAACAATGTGATAAAGTGCTATATCAAATGCAAGGATTATTATTAGTATTAAAGTAATAATAATAATCATTGCATTTGATATAGCGCTTTATCACATCGTTGAGATGTCTCAAAGGGCTTCACAGGATATATTGTAAAGTGAATTCATTCTATTTTGCGGACGAAAGGTGGCAGCTAATTCAAATTTTAAAACATTATTTCAGTTTTAATTTTAGCCAATTAAAAGTTTCCTGCACTTCCCTCTCCTCCTATCCCCCTCCCCATAACACCGTTAATGCTCAGCTGGTAAATCCACTGAATTTCAAGTGAAATGATTCAAAAAGAATCCAGTCTTGAATCCCAGTCTGTGTGGATCTCAGTCAGGGCAGTATAAAAGACTCTGTTGTGTCCGTGGGACTTGGAGAGGGAAATCAGACAGGTTTCTTGCTGCTGTTTGCTCTCTTACTTTTACTTTCTCCCCCCCCCCCCCCCACACACACACACACACACTCACACATATACACACACAGGAATTTTAAGTGGAGAATTGGTGCGGTGGAAAAAGAAAAGAGCATTGGCTATGACTTTTTTTAGGATAGAACAAATTGGGAGAATTTGGTGCATGGCGCCCAGTTTGCGTATTTTTAGGTACAAATTTTGTGACGAGGAAGCCGAGAGGAGTAAAAATGCCGTCCCATTAAAAAAAAAAGCTGTTGCCTGACTCTCTGCGGTCTGAGCCCTGAGATTCACTTTAACATTCTAAAGCCGAGTGTCGCTGGACACCAGCCAGAGCCTCTCTTATAAAACCGTGTGGCTCGATGTCATGAGGCCACGTTGAACTTCTCTCTTAAACAGTAGTGTGTGTGCGTGTGTGTGAAAAAAGGCAACTCGAGTAAGCTCAGTGCAGTGCCATTCCTTGTCTGTGGGCTGATCTGCCCAATCCGTGATGCAAACCAGAATGTTCACATAGCACAGTGTTCCCAGGTCCCAGCGTGGTGCTCCAGTGGCTTTGAAACCTGCCCAGCTTGCATGCCATAGCTGCCAACAACGCAAACCAAGGCATTCCTCCGGGCAACTTATCAAGGGCGATGAAGTGTAGGCAACTGCTCTGTGACTGTGCCGTGCCTAGGAACCGTGGGTGACACCATCAACGTAACAGGTTTGAGCAGTTCCTAAGCATTTCTGAACCTGCCACTGAATGAAAGAAAGAACCATTTTCATAGTGTGCCCCGGGGTAATCACTGTGAATGATGATGCTCATTGCATATGCATTAACTCGCATTATCTCAAAGTGCTTCACAAGGAATTGCTGTCAAGTGTGGTAACTGTGTATTGGGAGGCAGATATTGTACTGTACCGCTGTCAGTTTGAGCATAGCATGAGGTAAATGGCCAATTTATCTAGAGGAATGTTGGCCAGGGCACCGAGAGAAACTCCCTTCTCATTTTGAATAGGTTTGTCGGATCTTTTAAGTTTGACCTGAATAGGCAAACAGGATCTCCAGTTGACTCCCCTTCCCCTGACTGTTTGAGAAAAGCTTCCCGGGGGGGGCGATCATTGTTGTCACGGTTGCGAAATCTTGTCCACTTGATCTGTGCAAATTTCACACAAGTACAATTCTAGGTCTGTCCATACAAACCTGCATTGTGCGTGTATTTGTGTATGGCTTCGTGTTGACCTTGAGCTCAGAAGTGGAAATATTATCCACATCTGTCATCTTTATGAGCACAAAAGACATGAGATTAGGAAAACTGTCAAATTCCTACATGCTGTTGTCTTCCATTTCAAAATATGTTACAAAATATGTTCCCTATCATTATGTAAACTTTGGCAAACTACAGGGCAAAACCACAAGGAAAAAGCATTGGTGGTTAGGAAGGAACAAACCATTTGTGATGAACACGTTGAACCCGGCTCAGCCATTTTCCCCCGCCCCATTTTGATACATGTTTTGACACCCTGGCCTAACAAAAGTCTAACCACCTCAGTCTTGAACATTTGAATGGATCCAGCGTCCACAGCCTTTTGGGGGAGAGAGTTCCAGATTTCCACTGCCCTTTGTGTGAAAAACTGCGCTCCTGATTTCACTGCTAAATGGCCTAGCTCTAATTTTTAGATGATGCCCCATTTTATTTAGTTAACGCCAGTCCCTACTCTTTCCCTCTCTCCCTTCACTCCCCCCTCCAGTCTCCGTCAAGTGATGGCATCGGTGTCGAATTCAAAAAGCTCCAGTGTGCAAAAAGTCTTAAATGCCTTCTCCCACTGCACCCCAGCCTTTCTTACTGACGGGTCTGATATAGTATTGAACCTCACTGTGGACACACACTAAATAAATCTGAAACAAGATAGGCTCTTTTTCTACATGTTCAGTCTTGCTTGACTGGCAGTCATCTCACTGCCTGGTTTACGGGATGGGTCTTTGGATCGTTAGTTGCTGTAATTGGATGGATTTGGGGATTATGCTTTTCCATCTCTCGTACCCGAGCATTTGTTTGATTTTGCAACCGTGCCTGGAGGTAATCCTGGGTCTGTCAGAATTTACGTGGTCTGCTAGTTTTATAGTATAAATTGTGTTGATGGCTTTACAGACTTTACAGAGAAAAGTCCTTCCATCTTGCTTTTGATTCACCTGCTTACAGCACATCCAGTTAAATTGCTCCTCACCACCAATGCCATATTTAAGATGAGACATTAAACTGAGGTCCTGTCTGCTTGTGCAGATGGACGCTAAAGATCCCATGGTGCTATCCGAAAAGAGAAGGGAATTTCTCCCGGTGTCCTGGCCAGCAATTCCCCCAAATAAAGTTGGTCACTCACTCCATGGCTGTTTGTGGCGCATTGCAGTGTGCATATTGGCTGCTGCGTTGGCCACAAAATGCAGTCAGACCAATTCACTTTGCTGAATTAGCTGATCTGAGTTCATGGAGTAGTAGTAGGGGTACTACAATTGCCTTCAGTAGCCCATCAATCAGGATTCCCGCTTGTGATAGCTATCCAGTGCTCCCTTCCTGAAAAAATACACTGAGCTAAACTTTCATATGCACACACTCTCTCACCCCCCACACACCCTGTTCATTGCCTTGCCAACACTCATTGTCCAGGCTCACACATGAGTAAAGGCTAGCGAGTTGGTGAAGTAAGAACGTCTCAATAAAAGTGAAAAGGACTTTGGAAGGGTAGAACATTTGTTGAGGAAGAAACATTTTAACGACATTAATACTCTAGCTGTCTGGTGTATTCGAATCACTGTAATTATTTATTCGTCTCTGTGCTAATGTTTGGCACATTAGCAGTGCACATAACTGATATGGAGAGATCATCGTAGCATTAAGCACCAACTTGCAGTAAGACTTTATCCCTTATTATATAATGTCCACTGGACCATTAAAGAAAATCAATCCGGTATAATATCTGGTTTCACTGAAGTGCTGTGTTTACTATCCAGTGCATTTGGAAGCCTCCTTAAAACGAGGATTAACAGACCACCATTGGCGGTCAGGCCTTCAG